CAGACGTGTGCTCTTCCGATCTCCCCAAAACCCCAAAACCCCAAAACCCCTATGATTGATTACTACATTGATTTTATCATTAAAAATAAAGATGTTAATTAAAGTTAAATCTAATGATAGTATATACTCTTTTACCAGTCACTGAAGATCAACTACATGAGGGTTAAGAATAGCGTGCCATCCTAAAAGATAGGGGGTTGCGAAGTTTAATAGTGATTAAATAGTAAGTAGCTCGGCTGTAGAGATGTTGATGGCAAGATTGTTAACTACTTCAGAATCATTAACTATCTCGCAGTAGTTGAATTTGTATGTCTTTCCATCTTCAAGCTTGTTCATTTTCATAACTTTGACTGGCTCGTTCTCCTTTGGCTAGTATTGCACAAAGATTCCCTCTTCATCGACTTCAGCATTGTAGCCTGGTTTTGTGTCTAAAGCAAGGATTTCTCCGATGTTTTTCAGAGTCAAAATTATTGTCTTTTTCTGCTGATTCATCATCTCTGCCTTGTCTCCAAGTTATTGAACAGGGGTGAAGTCAAAGACCACATATCCATTCTTATTTACTTAGTAGGAATCCTACTTTTATTGATAACTTGCTGGTTTGATTTACACGTTCAGCATCACGTCAGACTTTACAATGTTAAGGCCTCTCAAGTATATCTTCTTGCCATTATACGACAATCTGTCTTAATACTGACCACCTGTTGCTTGTTAATTATACTATTGATTTTGGTAGGTCTTTGGCTAGTAATTAGTATTAAAGGATCTAGATTAGAGTGAGAGCATGGGAGTTCTGGAAGCATTTGCCAATAATGATAATCTTGGTTTTATCAGCAGTGATTTTGATTATCTAATGAGTTATAAAGCTTTCATTTTAATATTGATAAAGATATTGTATATTATTTTCAAAAATTACTTGAGGTTAAAATTAATGATTTAACTTTATATGAATAGATAATAGATAAAGTTGATTAAAGAATAAACTATCGTATTTTAGCCTAACAGCATTACGAATTGACTCATTAATTATTTTAAAGTTTATAACAAGATTATATTTTTAATGTCTTCGAATCATAATAGTAAGGGAAGGGAGTAGCGAAAACTGAAGAATTACATGCTTGACTCAAAGATGATGAAGGAATTCTACCTCTAAGGGGATGTATAATTTCCTTATACTGCTTAGGGTGGCTAACGTAAAGATCTCTTCTTCAAGGAACGACTAAGCACAAAGCAAACTTCAAGAGGGTTTGATCGGTATAGAGGTTCCTCTTAAGAAATATAATCATCAGCTGTTTAGAAGTTTGCAAATGAAAGTAGCAAGTAATTCTCCGAATTCAATATGCCTTAAATCAATATTAATTTTGGAGATTATCAAACTATTGACAATAAGAATGATCAAAGGTAAATAACTATTCATCAGGATTTTTCATCTCTAATGTAGTACTGATATGAATAGAAGTTAACAGCTTGGGGAAGTGTTTGGAAACAGAAAGCCAAGTTTGTTTTAAAAATTCATTTAGAGACAATCTATTGATATTAGTCAAAGCACAAATGTTGGAGTAAGCGGTGGACCGAACGCTGGAGGTAATAATGGCTGTACAAACAATAATGGGCTAGAAATTGGGCTAGATTTGGAAACTAATCACAATTAAACCCAGGCGATAAATACTGTTAGAGGCAGCTTGTATAACAACTCTATATTTAAGGATTCATCAGTAGAGAGAGATGAGGTGAACGGAGGACTGATGACTATCTAAGGAAGTAGTCGCTAGCCTAGAGCAGAAAATCGATGAAATAAAAAGTATTAAAAAGATTCTCAATAAAGTTATAAATTTTCTTATGAAGACATTACCCCTGAAATCGCTGCATAGATAGTCAAAAATTATCTTCTGCCAATGTTTAACGGGAAAAGAAACATCAGAGGTACTTCAAGTAAGATAAATTTTCTTATTAATTCCATTCTAGAAAAAAGAAAATCATAAGATGATTCCACGAGGCAAACTATCATCTCAGAGGAGCAGCATGCAAATCTAGATTAATTAAACGATTAAAATGGTAAATTACCAAACAAATATAACTTGAATAACACTGTTTATACGGAACTATTATTGAACCAAAAACTTTACAAAAAACTGATTGACACAGACTAAAAATTAGAATATACTCTGGAATAAATGGAGGAGCTAAAAAATAAAAATAATTTGACTGAGAAGTATACCTTAGAGTAGAGGCAACTGATTATTAGATATCAAATTGAAAATTAAATACTCAAGAATCATATTTAAAAGTTGAGTGATGAAAAGAAAAAGTTGCATATTGATATTGAATTACTGCTTGAAAATTATAAGAAGCTGAATGAAATTTTCATCACAAGTGAAACAAAGAGGAAAATGATACTCAGTACATATATGGATACTTGCATTTAAAAGGATAAATTTTAAGGTTACTGCAAATAACTCGAAACTGAAAATAAGTTGCAAGATATATAGTCTGTGTATCTTAAAGAGTAATACCAATTAGTTTCAGATTCAATCTCTAAATTATCATAATACAAGATGATTTAGGACTAAAATGATGTATCAGTAGAATTTTTAAGAAGAGAAATTGAAAAGCAAGCAATGGAGAAAAGGGAAGTTGATGCTTAAGCAATACTGTATATGGAAAAGAATGACATATTACTCAATGATATGAAATTTTTACAAGATAGCTCTTGAGAAGCAATAGCATAAAAAGAAAATTCAATAAAAATGCTTAGGGATAAATGTTATACTTTTGAAATATAACTAAAAGATGCGATATCTAGCAACAACTCACTTAAAAATTAACTAGTTGTAACAAAAAATCTCTTTGACAGAGCAACTGAAGAAATAACAATGCTTAAAAAAAGAATAGAAAGATTAAAAATTCGAAAAGTTAAGTTGAATCAAAAGATATGTAAAAATTGCAACCAGGAGTTTATTGAAAGTGAGAATTACAATTGGTCATGTAGAACACATTAGTCGGAATATGGAGGTGAGATGTGGTGGTGCTGTGGTAGGAAATTAAAAGATGCTCCTGGATGCAAGTTTAATAAGCATCAAAACAAAGATGATGAAGAATAAGAGGCTAAAGAATTTAATGATGCTTTGCACTAAGAGACTATCAAATGCTTTGTAAGTATAATCAATCCATATAAATTTATTTAGTGCTGCAAATAACATGGCCATGCAGGAAGACAATGCAATAGAGACCCAAACCTTAAGACAATTTAGGGAATAGATTTAGAAAATTAAGCAAACCTTGAGGATTTGCGAATTCATAAAGTAGAAACAGACCACTAGTTGAGGAAAAAAATCAATTATTTAGAAGATTTCCGCAAATTAGTCACCCATTTAATATCTCAGCAATAAGAGGAATTGGACTATGCAGCACTTAATCCTAATAGAATTAGGAGGAAGCCAAGACCAAGCGATCATATTTAAAATACTCTGTTACAATTCGATGATTATAACTATGCCGAACTCAATCACGAACTAAAAAGAGGTATTACAAGGAAAAATACTAGTGTTAAGCTTGATCACACTTTTAGCTTCAATAAGTTGCAATCCTTTCGGGAACATATGTATCAAGATGAATCAATTAATCATGACGGAGGGGACCTTGATACCATCGTCATTGAGAGATAAGAATCCATAATTGATCAAGGACCTACAAATGAGGTGACTTTTGACTTTGATAAAATAAGATAGTACCAGCAAAAAGAACCATTTGAAGATGTCAAAGAATTAAAGTATGAACTAGCTTTGAAACAAGATATTACAATGAAGCAAAATCTGATTGACATTCTAAATTACATGCCAAAGAGATTTAGTCAAATGTCTATTTAAAACAGAAGCAGTAAAGCTGGCTCAGTCAAAGGTAATAAAGCCTCTCAAGACAAGAGTTAGGCTACTCTATTGACATCTACTAGAATAGGTCTAGTTTTCAATCAAAACTCGATATCATAAGCAGAGGATGAGTTTGGCTTTAGGAGAAGTATCAGTAATATGAATCAATCATATGATATGATGAATAATAGCAGAGGAGCTTCTGCTTAGCCAAGAGGTATCCTTAGAAAAAAGTCTTCAATAATGAATACAAGTGAGTATATGAGCAGTAGCTCTAACAATCCTAATCAATACATTCGACAAGAGAGCTTAAATGATACAGCAAAGAAATTACCGAAAAACGATATTAAAGTTGGCAATTTAGACAAGATTGTTATCAATAGTTCATTAAATGGATCAGGAAATATTATCTCAGGGAACTCTGGATAAAGGACTAAGTCAAAATTCAAGTAATGACTATCTAAACAAAATTAAAATTGAAATTTTAACTATTATTATTGATAAATACTTAATTTTATCACTATGGATTAATCATGGGGTTTTGGGGTTTTGGGGTTTTGGGG